GTGTAGTTTCGTAATAAAGAATGCATTTTTCTGGCACGTTTTTGACAGTATTGAGCATTGCATTCAAAAATAGAAAGCCATTTTTCAATTAAACTTTTGTATTTTCCAAAAATTAAAAACATGTATTTCATTCGGTGCTCTCGCGTCTTGTTGGATTAGAGTTTCATAAGGAATGTCTAACGAATTAGTAGAGCAGAAGTTGCAATATTATAACACGTAATCGTTACAATTAATACTATCGAATATATGATATTGTAGCAGCGTTAGTTTTTAAAGATCGGAGAGAGACTAAGACTGAACGATATATATTTAATCAGCAAAGTAAAGTTTGGTTAAAAATAAAGATGGTAATGCAACCGAAAGGAATGTGCAGACAAAAGTATTCTACATGAATACATTTTCTTTAATACCATTCCCTCAGTATGGACATTACGCACTGTCAAATATTCTCCAACTGTTTGCATTATATTCGTTTTGTTAGCAACAAATACCAACTGTGGAAGTGAGCATAGGCTACAATGATTGATAGAAATTGGTACGAACTTTAAGAGCTGAAACTACAATCACCGGGAGAATGGGTCTCTGTTCAGTACTATCTTCTTCCGATAAGTTTATTATTAAGTCTTGTCTGCGAACTCTAACCTCCTAGTCTGTATCAACACAAGAAAAAACAGGATATTTATAACTCGTGCGAACGAGCACGTCTTCATTAAAGAAGGGTTCAGTACGACGTTCCAAAAATCCATCCTTGTAAGATCCATTTTACTTGATCGTACTTACTAACGTAAGAAGAGGAAGTATTGTAATCGTGCACCGGAAAATGGCGAATTTTCGACACAGAAACTATGATTGCGGGCCCTGGTAAGGAAAAAGTTCAAAAATCCAGTTGCTAAATATAGGGGGAAAATGTTCTAACACGTGATGTAGCCAGAATCCATCTTTTGTGGGTCCTTCATAACAAAAAATCAACTGACAGCAAAATCTCTGTCTGTCCGTCCGTCTGTGCACAACGCTAGCGCAAAAACCGTTCAGTCAATTTTCTCCAAAATTGATATTCCCCAATCATTTTAGCTGATGTCGCGGACCCTGGAATTTGAAACCGAAATTTTTATTTTGGAGGGTACTTTACATTAAGCCTCTGAGACATTTCCAAAATTTCCGAAAAAAGGATCCAATGTCTTTCATTAAATTTTGTTGTTGCGTAGTTCAAACAACATTTAAAAGAATTGTGCAGGTCTCATTTTCTTTGACCTCCATTATTTTTCAAAAATTGGAAAAATTAATTTTTAAAACTTCAAAAGATAGGACAAGAGAGGAAATGAAAGGAGACAGAGATTTTTGTCTCTGACAAAGTGTGTTGTGCAAAATTAGCGCTTCCAAAAATATCATGTACAATTTTTTTGAACAAATGAGTAGTTTTTGCGTATTATGCAAATGAACTTCACAAAAAAACTCAAAAACCTCTCCAATTTTATCCTTTAATTTTCTTCAGTCATGTAATATGTGACGATAAACAATATGGTGCTTGTCTCATTTTCGGGTATTGCTCGGTTTTTTGAAAATTAAAAAAAAATTTAAACTATAAAATTGAAGATAGTGATTTTTGCCTCAGACAAAATCTGTTGTACAAAACTAGTTCTTTAAAAACGGTCATGTACAATTATTTTGCCAATACCAGTAGTTTTTGCGTAATTTGCGATTGAGTTACAAAAAAAATTCTCAAAAACTACTCCTAATGTTTTATTTCAATTTTCTTCACATATGTAATAAGGCACGGTAAAGAAAAATATGGTGCTTGTTCCATTTTCGGGGATTTGCTCGTTTTTTCGAAACGACAAAAACATTTCAAAACTACAAAATTGATGATAGACTTTTGCCTCAGACAAATTCTGTTGTACAAAATAAGCACCTTAAAAAAGGACATACAATGTTTTGAAAATACGAGTACTTATTGCTTGATATCTGCTTGAAGTTAATGAAATATATACAGGTTGCACACCAACTACGGACCATGAGAAAAATATAATTAATGATAAGGAAAAATAAATAATTAAATTTTATTAATATTATTTTCTATTGAAAATGCCAATATTAATTCGATTTTTCCCTTCCCGTTTTTTAAAAAAAATTTTACGCAATATGTATTCTCAATGTATTGATGTTTTTCTTTTTGAGCAATCCGCAAAGCTTAATAGAAATTTCGCAATAATGCTGCAGCAATTGAGAAGCACTTGAGTAGCACTTCTGTATATCATCTCTCTTCCGAGAAACTATGGACGCTCTCTGTGCTGAAATGCAATAGTGTTTATTGTATCTGAAGTGGATGTTAGAAGTCGGTGATGAAATGAAACGCTATAGGAACTACTTTCTTACGACTAAAGGCATCTCACGAATGTAATTATTTTGATGTCAATTGCATATATTCTAATTACTGTAGTGATATTATTAGCGACGCGAATGTACATAGGTTTGATAACTCTGTTCTGACAACAGTGCGTTGCTCACTTGCTTGAATTGGACGTTTTGAAATAATGGCTCTGGTGTTAGTAGCGCAGAAAATGCAATATTTCTATATTATGTAGCTGTTTCCAATAACGCGAGAAAGTATGTGCTGTTGTAGCACCACTACTTTAATCTGTATTCTACCTCCAAGGGAGAAAACGTACAAGATAAAAATAACATTCAAAGAAGTGTATATAGTTTCGTTAGATACGCAGGAACTCGAAAGAAATCCCAAAACAATGAAAGATTTGTGATTCGATTTGAATCGAAAAATGCAAATATTTAATTACGTTATTACGCCCGTTCTCTTACAGTGCGTACCGATTGTATCCTCATACTCATTGCGTCGTACGACGAGCATGACGTCTTGAGACATCAAGGCTGCAGGGAAGAGGCCGTCTGCTTAATATTTTCTATTCACGTGATGCGTAATATAATAGCAACGGTTCGATATTCTTTGTATGTAAAAACAACTGTTGCTACGCGCAATACTACGTTACAGCAGTATTCGCGAAGACTATTTTTGTTACGCGTCAAGTGTGAATCGGGCCAAGGTCCAAACGTAAATGAACTGGTAGAATTGCATGAACAACACGCTACAGCCACTCCACGCCCCGCCGCCACGTGGCCGGCTTGCTTCACGTGCGATGGACCCACGTGCTGCAGCAACGTGTGGAGTTGGGTGTGGTGGCTTGAAATGAGACTTTACCTTTATGATTATTAGTAATGTGTGTACTTTTTATATTTTTGTGTTATTTATCTTAGTTTATAATTTTGATTTTGTTTGTTTAAAGTTAATTAATTAATGAATCAATTTATTGTGATGTTTGTTGTCCTCATGCTGTCCATTGTTCATTGATTATACCCTAGCACTGATGAAGAAATAAAATATTTCAAAACGTTGGCGCAACTAATTGTTTCTCGAACCACAATGACCAATGTCGTGAACCAATTTTATTTTATTATTCATCAATGGTCGGAATTCTACAATGGTCACGCATAAAGATAGAAAAACGAATATATAAGGATTAGAGCAGCTAAAAGAACATTGATTGGTTGAATCGAATTATTTGAATTTAGGGGGACTGCCAATGGAGTCTTAAGAGGAATATTATGTTGTTGGTGCTTATTTTAGAGAATATTTTTCCTTTTGAAGTTTGTGAATTTTGTTTCATTTCAGAGGTTATTTGGGAAAAAATCGTAATAGTGATGGGAGAGAGCTCACAACAGCTAGCGCGTAGCATTTGAGTTTCGTATGATGCTGAGCATGAATACAGATGTTTGTAGATAGTGAGCGAAGTTTATTAACACAATGAACTTTAAGCACATTCAAAAGAACAAAAAAATAGTGAGTAACTTAAGAAATAATTTCCCACTGGCTATCAATAAGGCGACCAATTATTGTTACAATAAAAAAAGGGACGAACAAAATTGAGAAAAAAAGTACAACATAAATAAATGTAACGTTTTATTAATTCAAACAAAAATACACTATTTATGTTTACATCCCTTTTAATTATTTAAATAAAAATATTTTTTCGTTTATTTTCCTCCATCTCAATTATGATCCATCATACTCCCCCGCCCGCGAAACTTCTTTGCTTTCCCGCGGTACGAGTTGAAAATCCACTGAAAATGGTGGGAACCACGTCGATTTGACAACATAATCGCGTCTTTCCGAACTGAACCGTCACAAGGACGCGTAACACTTCGACGCGGCATCTCTGAATACAGAATTTAGTAAATGCATTAGTTTTAAAATATCGAAAAGGAAGGCAGGTAAGGATGACCCTTTTCAGGGAAGGCCAGGACCTATAAAAGGAGGACGGTCCTCCCTAAAGGAGGATGATTCCTCACCTTACTATCAACTTTCATGGATTTCGGCGAGTACAACACGGTTGCTAACGCCTCAGTTGCGAATGGACTATCACCACGCAAGATTGGCTGGTCCAGATGGAAGAATCTGCAATTTCAGGACGATAAGTCGCAACGGAGCCATCCTTTCTCCAAACCCTCCGTTGTGGAATATCAAGAAAACATGCGCGAGTAGTACTCTATGTATTCCCTCACACGTTTCACAGCCTTCGAAAAAATTATCTTCAAGATTTCTCTTAGTAGATCTGGTAGTATATTACATGTTCTGTCGCATCCCTTCCCAAGCAGACACTTAATCAGTTCACGTGAGGTCGATAGTTGCAACTTCCGTTACGTTCTATCGATTCAGGAGTATATTCAATCTTGAGTAAATTTTATACATGTAACGTAAGTACATCAAGAAAATAACACTTTAACATACTTACAAAGAGATGAATATGGCGTGTTAAGGAAGATCATGGTTTCAATTTGTTTCATGAGTCTCACAAAAACACCCAACAATGCTGTAGAAAATGTTTAATAGATTCATACAACTACCTTAAGCAACATTAAACAATTCAAAAATACAACGCCCGTTAGCAGTTACGTTTCTAGTAGAGCTCCATGGGTTTTCCAACAATGACGTTACTTCTTCAAAACTTTGAAAACAAACTAAAACAAATACTGTCTGAAAAACAAAATAGCCTACTTTTGAATTGTAAAAAAATACCATTACAATAAAACAACACTGAATTTAAATAAACAAATAATACTTCGGCACGACTTATGCAAAACTTTAACCACCTCATTCTTACAAAGAACATTGGTGATCTGACTTTCTATTTTGTTTATTTAAACTAATATTTTTCCTACTACTCATTATTAACTCTTTGAATATTTTTTAAATTTTGAATTAGTAATTTGGAATTCAAAATTTTACGTCCGAAGTTTTTAACCAAAATGCTTAATTTTTTCATTAGGATTGATATTTCGTTTCAGATTTTGGTTTGTTATATTTGTTCGCCATTACACTTCAATTTATATAGAACTTCATTTGACAGTTCATCAGCTGTAACAGTGCCATCCAATCGGGAGCTTATACGTCACTACATTGACGTCACTATGGTGACGATCAAGGTCCTATTTGGATAACACCGTACCAGCAGATGTACGTCAACTGAAGCTATGTTTAAATCCAAGTATGCGCCACAATTACCAGTTGGCAAAGCCGCCATCTGAAGACCTTGAACTACAAACGTAACCGCGAAATCTGGGCGCCTCGTCCTGGCTCCGCTCCGCTCTGCGTAGCTCCGAAGGGCAGCTCTAGCGCGCGCGCTCGCCCACGTAGACGGGGTCGCCGACGCGCACGGTGCCCGACTGCCGCAGCCCCATGTAGCAGCCCATGGCTGGCGCCAGCTCACCCTCCAGCTGCTGCTTCTTCGCGTCCTTCAGCAGGCGGTACCTGCGCACACGCCCGCACCCTTCCACCAACGTCCTCTCCACACTGAGCATTGTGGTTAGTGAATCAGGTCATTAGAGTAATGCATGTTTATCACATGAGGGGGAGGTGATCTTCCCCTCGGTGGCGAGATCTGGCACAGACCTATACGTCGGCTAGCGGAGGTTTTACCCTATAAAGGGTCTTCCACCAGCGTGGGCACTGCCCCAGCCGGAGTAAGCTCGAAGCTCCCCACGTGTGGTAGTGCACGTAAGAGTAAGTACGTAAGTAAGGAACGAGGATAGGATAACGAAGAGGATAGAGGGATTTCACGCGGGCAAGAGCCCGTTTGTTAGGGTACTTCCCTGGCATTCGGCCAGTGTTGATCGTAGAAACAACGGAAAACAACCGACCAGAGAAGCTGGTCGATAGAATTCTCCTCCAGACAGCGACTGAATTCGACCTAGATTTGCAGCAACTGTTGAAAATCCACCCACTGTACTCGAACGTCTGTACGTCCAACGTCTGTACTCGAACCAACACCATCTACATTACCAGCACTATCTAGATGTAATCTAGGTGGTGTTGCTAGAACCCTGGGATCTCTCGGACACATGCACTGCAGTGACTTCAATTGATGCTCTGAGACAGATAAGCCAGTCTGAGCATTATAATATTCCCAGGTGTGCTTCTGGGCTTTAAACTTTTCCCTCCCCAATCGTCACATGCAGGGTAAATTACTTACTGGCCTGCCGATTTTCTACTTCCATGTTCACCAGTGGTCGATAAGCTCCAGAAGGGTAAAGATGTTTTTCATTCCAGAATCGAACGGAAGTACTACTCGTACATTACGACGTTGAAGGTTCCGGGAGACTATATGCTCAATTCATCGCATGAATTATTTAAACGAATTGAATGTTGATCAAATAATTATATAAATATTAATGGTTAAAAAATAATCTATTTCCAGTTCTAATTATGTTGTGATAACTAAATTTCATAAGTTCATAAAATCAACAACTTCCTTATTTACAGAAACGTGTCGATTACAATTTAATGTAAACAACTTACAGTTAACGAGTAGCAGTCTATTTACCTTAACTACAGATTCCTTTACTGCGGCCAAAAAAGGCGTGACAGGAGATGAAGAGCAAAAACATTGAGTGCTAAGAAAAGGGTGCTGCTAAAAGGAAATTGCCATATTTTCTTCTCGCATAGAAAATTACCGTTCGTAAAATAGAAAACTGGCAAGAGTACTCACCCTCTAAGCGTCTTCAAAGGCTGCATTTGGGGATCCTTTTCAGCTGTCTCAGGGTCCATTGTGGTTACCACACATCTGCAGAGGAATGTTGCAGAAAATAGTGCATCAATATTAAACTTGAACAGAAAATTAATTCCACGTTCATATATATATATATATATATATATATATATATATATATACATATATATATACATATATATATATACATATATATATACATACATACATACATACATACATACATACATACATACATACACACATACACACACACCACAGGATGATTCAGTTCTCGTTGCTAATACGCTGGGAGGTTATCCCATATGTAATATACAGACTGAACTTGGATTCTCTCCGCTTTGTAAGGAATTAACGTTAAAATTTGGACTAGGCGCCTGTGATCGTGTAACGCGGACTGCGGCAAGCGAGCAAGCGACTTCTCCGCTTAGCCATTAAGTCTCGCCACTTCTCTGAAAAATTCAATTGCTAATATTATCTGAGAAGCTCCGGAAACGAGCACAACGCAAATAGCGCGCGGGGTCAAGGCATCACAGTTCTTGGTATGGCGAACAATTCATGCGGAGAGATTGCGACTTCTCCATTTCCAGCGGGTGAAGCATTTGCACTATAGATACTATGACGTTTCGATTTCTCCAGGCTTTTCCTGCAAAAATGCTAAGAAAACCAGGAATTTCCATCTTTGGTCAGATGAAGCGTGTTTTTGCAAAAACTGGCAGAATTAATGTGCCCAATTTGCATGTGAGGGCCGAGGCAAATCCGCATATTGCACGTAGTGTAGACATTTTCTGGAAACGTGTCAGTTGGCATTGTGAATGAATTTATCCTCGGTCTTCCTTTCTTACACGTTTTTGAGGTCGTTCAGTATCTGAATTTTATAACTCAGGTAATCCCAACGCTTTTAGAGCTGGCGTTAATGAAAGACCACGGTTATGCTACCGAAATTTAGAATCGTGACGGCCTTCTTCGGCGCATCGAAAGTTGTTGGCGTCAGAGTGGCCGTGCGGCGCAGATGCTTATCTTGCGTTCACGCACGGGAGGCCATTTTGACCACTTGTAGAGCCCCTGTTACACCAGGTAAAATTGCGAAATTTTGGCTGAATAGCAAGTTAATAAACTATTCTACATAACACATAAATAATAGTTTTTCGCTCTACTTTCATATTCGTTAGATAAGTAGGCAATAATAGCAGCATGGAACAATATTTAATGTAATATTTGGGATACGTTTTTTGCGAAATATGATCAATGACAAAAAACTTTCTTTAAATTTTGAATAGGGTTTACACCATTGCCTTTTCATATCACGAATAACTTGGTTTTCTATATCTCCAGGTCCTGTATAAGCAACGAGGACTGAATCACTCTGGATATATTCTCTCTTTCTCTCTCTTTCTCTCTTTCTCTTTCTCTCTCTTATTCTCTCTTTTTCTCTTTCTCTCTCTTTCTCTCTCTCTATCACACACACACACACTCACTCATTCACACACACACACATACACACACACCTCAAAAAAGGTATTAACCAACCAGAACAGAAATTTACAGATTACAAAACAAGTGTTACGGACCACATTTGCTGCGCCTTTCTTGATTAATAATGCCTTAATCGTAATCATTGGAAGGAAAATTTTACTCGTTTAATTTTCCTTTCTCGTTGTTCTATTTTCTTTATTGATGTCATTCTCATAGGTGTCAAGTTCTTTCCTGGTGTTGTGCTAAACGAATCTTGGTTTAAAAGATTTGATTCTTTATATTAACTTTCATTTCATCGTGTGGTCCTAAACACTTGTTTTGTAATCTGTAAATTTCGTTGTTCTGGTGGTTAATTACCTTTTTTGAGGTGTGTTGTATGTGTTGTGTGTGTGAATGAGGTGAGTGTGTGTCCTAGTGTGTGATAGAGAGAGAGAAAGGAGAGGAGAAAGAGAAAAAGATGAGAATAATGAGAGAGAAAAGAAGGGAAAGAGAGAAAGACAAGAGAGAGAAAGAGAGAGAAATATATCCAGAGTGATCAGTCCTCGTTGCTTATACAGGACCTGGAATATAGAAAACCAAGTTATTTCGTGATATGAAAAGCTAATGGTGTTAAACCCCCTATTCAAAATTAAAAGAAAGTTTCTTGTCATTGATCATTATTTCGCCAAAAAAAACGTATACCAAATATTACATTAAATAAAATTGTTCCATGCTGCTATTATTCCTACTTATCTAACGAATATTGAAGTTAGAGCGAAAAACTATAATTTATTTGTGTTATGTAGATAGTTTATTAAACTTGCTATTCAGCCAAAATTTCGCATTTTACCTGGTGTAAACAGGGCTCTACAATGTGGTCAAAATGCCTCCCGAGCGGTGAACGCAAGATAAGCATCTGCGCCGCACGCCCTTGACGCCAACAACTTTCGCGATGCGCCGAAGAAGGGCCGTCACGATTCTAAATTTCGAGGTAGCATAAACCCGGGTCCTTTCATTAACGCCAGCTCTAAAAGCGTTGGGATTACCTGAGTTATTAAAATTCAGATACCTGAACGACCTCAAAAAACCGTGTAAGAACAGGAAGACCGAGGATAAATTCATTCACAATGCCAACTGACACTTTCCAGAAAATGTCTACAACTACGTGCAATATTGCGGATTTTCCTCGGCCCTTCACATGCCAAATTTGACATTAATTCTTGCCAGTTTTTGCAAAAAACACCTTTGTCTGACCAAAGAAGGAAATTTTTCCTGGTTTTCTAGCATTTTTGCAGGAAAAGCTAGAGAATTTCGAAACGACGCATCATATCTATAGTGCAAATGCTTCACCCGGCTGGAAATGGCGAGAAGTCGCAATCTCTCCCATGAATTGTTCGCCATACCAAGAACTGTTGTGATGATGCCTTGACCCCCGCGCGCTATTTGCGGTTTGCTGCTCGTTTCCGGAGCTTCTCAGATAATATTAGCAATTAAATTTTTCGGAAGTGCGAACTCATCCTAACGCGAGAAGTCCTTGCTCGCTTGCCTAGTCCGTTGATACACGCATCACAGGCGCATAGTCCAAAGTTTAAACGTTAATTCCTTACAAAGCGGCAGGAGAATCCAAGTTCAGTCTGCTATAATTACATGAAGGGATAAAAACCTCCAGGTATTAGCAACGGAGAACTGAATCATCCTGTTGGTGTGTTGTGTGTATGTATGATGTTTATAGTATAGTATATATATGTAATATATATATATATATGTATATATATATATATATGTACTATAGTATATATATATATATATTATATATATATATATATGAACGTGGAATTAATTTTCTGTTCAAGTTTAATATTTGAGCACTATTTTCTCCAACATTCATCTGCAGATGTTGGTAACCCACAAATGGACCCTGAGACAGCTGAAAAGGATCCCCAAAGCAAGCCTTGAAGACGCTTAGAGGTGTGAGTAGCTCATTGCCAGTTTTCTATTTTTACGAACGGGTAATTTCTATGCGAGAAGAAAATATGGCCAATTCCTTTAGCGCACCCTTTTCTTTTAGCACTCAATGTTTTTGCGTGTTCAATTCTGTCACCCTTTTTGGCCCCAGTAAAGGAATCTGTAGTTAAGGTAAATAATGCTGACTAGACTGCTACTCGTTAACTGTAAGTTGTTCTTACAATTAAATTGCTAATCGACACGTTTCTGCTAAATACAGGAAAGTTGTTGATTTTATGAAACTTATGAAATTAGTTGATCACAACATGAATTAGAAACTGGAATAGATATTTTTTAACCATTCATATTTATATAATTGTTTGATCAACATTTCAATTCGTTTAAAATTAATTCTTGCGATGAATTGGCATATAGCTCCGGCGAACCTTCAACGTCGTAATGTACGAGTAGTACTTCCGTCGATTCTGGAATGAAAAACATCTTTACCCTTCTGGAGCTTATCGACACTGCGTGAACATATGGCAATAGAAAATCGGGCAGGCCCAGTAAGTTTTACCCTGCATGTGAACGATTGGGAGGGAAAAGTTTAAAACCAGAAGCACACTGGCGGCGCGAATATTATAATGCTCCAGACTGGCTTATCGTCTCCAGAGCATCAATTGAGTCACTGCCCAGTGCACATGTGTCCGAGAGATCCGCGTGGTATCTAGCAACACCACCTAGATTACATCTAGATAGTGCTGCCTTAATGTAGATGTGTTGTTCGAGTACAGACGTTGGACGTACAGACGCTTCGATACGTGGGTGGATATTCAACAGTGGCTGCAAATCTTAGGTCGAATTCAGTCGCTGTCTGGAAGGAGAATTCTATCGACCAGCTTCCTTCTGGTCGGTTGTTTTCCTTGCTTCTACGATCAAAGCACTGGCCGAATGCCAGGGAAGTACCCTTAACAAACGGGCTCTGCCCGCGTGAAATCCCTCTATCCTCTTCGTTATCTATCCTGGTTCGCTTACTTACGTACTTACTCTTCGTGCAACTACCACACGTGGGGAGCTTCGAGCTTACTCCGGCTGGGCAGGTGCCCACGCTGGTGAAGACCCTTTTATAGGGTTAACCTCCGCTAGCCCGCGTATAGGTCTGCTGCCAATCTCGCCACCGAGGGAAGTATCAACCTCCCCCTCATGCTGATAAACATGGCATTACTCTTAATTTGACCTGATCACGACACCAATGCTCAGTGTGAGGAGGAACGTTGTGGGAAGGGTTCGGGGCTGCTGCGCAGGTACCGCCTGCTGAAGGACCGCGAAGAAAGCAGCAGCTCCCTGGAGCGGCGAGCTGGCGCCAGCCATGGGCTGCCTACATGGGGCCTGCGCAGTCGGGCACCGTTGCGCGTCGGCGAACCCCGTCTACGTGGGGCAGGAGCGCGCGCGCTAGACTGCCCTTCGGAGCTACGCAGAGCGGAGCGGAGCCAGGACGAGGCGCCCGATTTCGCGCGTTACTTTGTAGTTCAAGTCTTCGATGGCGGGCTTTGCCAACTGGTAATTGTGGCCGCATACTTGAATTTAAACATACTTCAGTGTGACGTACATCTGCTGGTACGGTGTTATCCAAAAATAGCCTTGATCGTCACCAT